AACCCTGTGCTTTTGTTAGTGACTCATTGGGAACTATTTTAGACACAGCCCAAGTAGACACACACAATGTGTGCTGGCCAGGAGGAGTGTCGGTGGCAGCAGCAGCAGGAAACCAAAACCAACTGCTGGTGGTAGAATAACAGCCGTGCTTGATTTATTTTTGGGTTAATATTAGTTTTACTTAGGGTTAATATTAGTTTTATGTTTTGTATCTTTGTTGTCTTGTTTTGTATTTTAACAATAACCATGAAACCATATCTGAGTCTTCTGAGATGTTATCTCTGCAGGGACTGAAGTTCCCGTGGGAGAGTGCAGTGTCAGGCCGGGAGGTGTGTCCCGAGGACATTTATGGAGAACAAGAGATTCACATAAATGGAGACGTCACCCTGGCCTTCCAACACTATCTCTACCTCACTGAGGTATGCTCTTTAATCCCCACTCATTGTCATAGTGTCTCTTTCTCACTTCTGTACAAAAACACCCTGTGTAATGATCTCTTTGTTGCAGGATCTGTCCATGTTCACAGAGGGCAAGGGCAAGGAGGTGATATACGGGGTGGCTGATTACTGGGTTTCAAGGGTATCATGGAACCCCGAGGACAAGAAGTATCATCTCTTAGGTACAAATCATTTTTAGAAAGAGGTTCCATTTAGCTTAGCATGATTATCAGGCTAATAATTTAATAAAAGCTACATTTCAAATGTCTGACTTTATTTATTTTATCTATATATAGAAAAACTTGTGATTTAAAAAAAACCGATTTGTAATAAAGTAGAATTTGTTTCTTGTGTTAAAACTATTTTATATGTTTTCTTAGCACTGACAATACACAGCACATTTATTGTACCAGCCAAAAGCCACTTTTCATTTGTAGTCCCTTATTTAATTTTTTTTTAATATTGATTTTGTAATGTCAGATTTAATAATAAATGTTTTATATTTATACATGTTAGATACCTACAAATATGACATTAATCAAAGCATACTGTATGATTGTAATGTTTTAGTTATTGAATAACAGCCAGGATATTTCTATTAAGATGTCAATTTAGCTTCACATAATTATCAGAATATATATATTTATTAACTAAATTAAAGACATGTTACTTATCTACTGGACAACATTCACTAAGTTGTTGATTGTTAGAACTCTTTTAATGTATTTTTTACATGTATACATTTTAGATATGATGCATGTTTTTTATTGAAATGTTATGAAGCATTTCCCCTTTGTGCCATTCAGGTGTCATGCCACCTGATGAGTATTATTACAATGTCAACAACTCAGTGTACACAAACACAGTGGCCAAATTCAGGTACTAGTATTCAAGTATTTCCCCGGCCCTGCATATTGACTCATCATCACTAATAAAACTAAAAGCTTCACACTTTTCAGTCTCCAGTTCGCTGTAGAGTTGGCTGAACTCCTCCAAGATCCTGCACCGAAGGAATGGAAAGAGGTGGCCGATCAACTCAAAATACCTTTTGACGAAGAATCCCAGTACCATCCAGAGTACGATGGCTACATCAAAGGTGTTTGTTTTGTCCATTTTGACACTGACATAAATAAGAAAGAAGAAATATCCACAACATGATGAGAATGTCTTGTGTACGTCTCACAGGTCATCCAGTGAAGCAGGCAGACACGGTGATGCTGGGATACCCTCTTGGTTTGGAAATGTCCCCCGAGATCAGGAGAAATGACCTGGAGGCGTACGAGCCAGTGACAGACCCTGATGGTCCGGCCATGACATGGGTGAGACACAGCATGCTGTACGGGACTGTGTGGGAGATTCTGTGTATGCCCTTTTCTTGTGATTACACTTTAATTACAAATAAAATATAAACTATATACTGGGTAGTGGCAAAGGGAGTGTTTAAACATAAATCAAATCCTCAATTAAAGCAAAAATAACATTTAAAAAATACTTCAATGAGTAAAAAGTAAAAAAACATAGGTAGAAAGTCTCTAAAATGTTTCTTAAAGCTTCTGAAATCAGCATGGTACAAAACATTAAGGGTTAATTAATATTAACCCACCATTTTTCATCCTATTTATTTGCATATTTATTGTTTTGGTTTAACATAAAAAGCAGATTTTATGGATAGAAGTGGAGCTCACTTTTTATGTACTTTAAATTGTTGGAGGTTTAATATATAATAATTACATTTATTTTAATAGTTCAACAAAGGTTTAGTAAAATCTGCAAATGAACAAGTATATACTGTATACAGTAGCTGCGGTAAATAAGTTAAACACATTTTAGAAATTGGTACATATATTTGTTATGTTTAACAGTGTCCACTTGCATTGAAAGTAAAAGCCTGTGGTTGACGTTCCTTCTTAATCAAGTGTGTGTTTGTAACAATGCTTTTGCTTTCCGTTACCAGGGTATGTTTGCAATCGGCTGGCTGGAGCTGGGGGAGGCTGAGAAAGCTCAACATTTACTTGAGAAGTGCTTCAAAAACATCCAGAGACCGTTCCAGGTGTCTTTCTGACTCAGAAAACCACACAATGCTAATAAATGCCTCTCTGCTGGATATCTAGTGAATGTGTGGTTACCTCTCCTCACAGGTATGGAGTGAATCATCCGATGGCTCTGGTGCAGTTAACTTCCTCACAGGGATGGGGGGATTCCTGCAAGCTGTGCTCTTTGGTTATACTGGCTTCAGGTCAGTTAATGAAAAAACACTTCAATATGTAGACAGCAGGAAGGCAGTAAAACAAAGATTAAAATTCTGTTTTCCCCCTAGAGTTCAGAAGGAATGCCTGGCCTTTTCCCCGCATCTTCCCAAGGACATATCGGAGCTCTGTGTCCGCGGTGTGAGCTACCTGGGCAGTCAGATGGACTGGCTGCTGAGGAAAGACGAGGTTTGTATCATACTGAGGGAACAGGGACAAACAGCTGGCAGCACTAAGCCCTGCGATCTGCAGGTGGTCCTGAAGGCATCAGGAACTAAAATCCCTCTCACACCAGGTAAACATTTTTGTCTTAAGAACAAGGTCTATTTACACTTAAAGTGGAAATGGACAACTTTTTAACCCCTGCCCCACCTCACTCGTGATTCCTCTTGGTTTTATTGTTGGTGCCTTTGTCACAAAGACAACAGGTTCCCTTCAATAAGACATGAGACATTTTATGGTTTTGGTAGTCATACAACTAAATGACAATCAAAACAATAAGATAAGATAATAAAAAAGGATAAAAATTGAAAATGCTTTTTGCAAAAAGTGATATGTTTAGTTTTTAAACTGTCTGCCATTCCTGCTGCTGGGTATAGTAACTGAAAATACATATATAATTCATACATATATAGAGGCAGACAGAATGCATAGTGAAAACGATGCTTACAGGGAAACAATCCAAACGACAGTGGTGTATTTATACTATAGCCATTCCATCTTGCAATTAAGATGTACTTCACAATGAGGCTAAAAAATGGTTCTGTCGCCACTATACGTTTGTTATAATGAAGAACACACTTAAACCTCCAAACTACAGCCCAAGAAAAAGACAAGCAGATAATCTGTACATTACAATTACAGAGAAACACTAAGTATAAAATTATAGTATTTGAGTGACAAAATAAGATGATGAAGAATCTCAAACTACACACATAAAATATTTTACAAATCCAGAAATTGCCCCATCTGTCTTACCGATGGAGAAAATAATGAAATAAAAAGAATGAAGAGCACTTACTCTCTTTATATTGAAAAAATAACTGGCTCTTCAGACAAGTGACAGCTAGGCTTTTAATACCATAATACTTGCTATCAAGTCTCATAATGTAAGAAAAATGGCTCAAATGTTTCTAGGGACCTTAGGGAGTGTCATACCCTTTGCCAGAATACTAGGGGTGATATACCATTTGTCAAAACACATAGGAGTAAATCTGGTCAATCGGTGCTGCAATCATTTAAATAAAGGATACCAAGATGCTACAAATAAAACAATACTAATAAACAAAGAATCATGTGTATCTATTATCTGTAAATTGTCCTGTTGGACCAAGTTTGATATACTTTTATTTAGTACTCAGTAAAGTGTTATTGTTACTTTGCTCCTTAATTACACTTTTCATATTTATTTTTTGCATTGACGCACTAAGAGATTATTAATTGTATACATCTATATTTTCAGGGAAGCCGGTAACTTTTCCTCTGGAGCCCGGGTGTGTTTGTAAACTGGTTTCGATGTCTTTCTGTTGGCCTCTCTGAAACAGCAACCATCATCATAATTTCATTTATACACAATACAAAATATCTTCATATCAATGCTACTGTTAAGTTGTATGCTGCCATTAACTTCAGCAATAATGGACAAAATGTATGAAATTCCTATAGTACTATCATAATAATATGCCATGTTACAAAGTCATGTATCAATGATATTGTATTGTAAATGATATATGTATTCAATAAAACTCATTACACACTGTGCAAAGCTTATTTTTCACATTTGATTTGTTTGTGGATTTGTTATAAGTAAAACCATATTAAACAATGCAGTCAAGCCTTAGTTGTGTTGTGTGACTTATCCTCTAGCTTTGTTTACTGGAGGGAGGCAGCAACCAACTGCTGGAGAGGAGGTGACATTTATCTTCCCTTGTATTATTAAAAACACTCTGTTCCCCGGAAATAGTCCCTTACTTTATTCTAATGATTTCTTAAAAATATTTAAAAGTTTTTTGACATTATTACATAATTAAAAGTACAGGAAACATTAAAGCCACTGTCAAACATGTCTTTAAGTTCAGTGGGCGGGGCGGAGAATATTCTGACATGGAAATCATTGGTTGATTCAAAAATCTGTGCTGGCGCTGTAACTACGCCCTAAACCTACATTGATTCGCTCGATTTGTTCACCCGTTACATTCCTCGCTATTGTTCTGAAGGCACGGTCCGCCCTCCCGGACAAATTGAGAAAATCGAACAACCCCTCAAACGTCACTGAGCCTCGCATTTTAATTGGCTGGTGGTGGAGTTTTGAACAATTTAAACGGTTTCAGCGGGTTTACGGGGAGCAGTGTGTTTCCACCTTTCTGTTGAGAGTTGACACACGACACGATACGTAAAAGAATGGGAAGATTTTAAGACTTTTATATGCACGTCAATATGCAATTGATTTAGCTTTTAAAGCGGACAAACGAGTATCGGTTTTATTTTTTTAAGAGACTTGGACATCTAAGGTAAGGCTATGTATATTTGACATCAAGGAAAATACCTTTAGCTATTTGTACGTTAGCTCAACCGCCTTACGTCGTAACGTTAGCATTTTAAACCATTACAGAGCACTTGTATGAACAATAATGTCATCAACTTAAATTAAATATTGGAGTCTGTTGCAACACTATTAGTTTAACTTGATTTGAATTTAGGTGTTGCAGCCTCGATGGTCGCAGATCAGTGTTTCATGCTAGCTAAGCTAACGTTTTACCTGGGAAACGTTACCGTTGTTCACAAATTCAAACGTTTCCGTTTATATGAGGCGTATCTTAAAGAATTACTAATGTCAAATAACTGCAAGCGTTATGTTGTTGTCGACCATCCTGATAACTAATAACAGTTTGCTACAACCTGTGCTAATGCGTCCGCGAAAATAGAAGACAATGCGCATGCACCGATTACATTCAAAGACAAAATGGATCTAAAAAACAAAGCAAACTAAAATTACGTAGATTGATGCCGACAATTAACTGAAATTAGTCGTAGATATGTTTCTGATTATGATGAGTATTCATTTATGAAATCAAAGTTCTTATGTGACAGTTCGCATAGAACTGGCTGTAAATACCCTTTGACTGTTAGGTAACGTTTGCTTGAATGTGTGAGTGTTGACCATAGACTGTATGGTCTTGACAAAGAAAACTAAAAGCCAACTGTTTAAAGCTGTTAACTTTGAAATTGAGCTTTATATTTGTTTGTTTTTTGTATTCGAGGACAATTGATCAAACAGACAATGTCGTTTTGCATTGTTGCTATAATGGAAGATACAATATTTAAAGCATCATTAGTAACTATTATGTTCGGTCAATTCACATTAAAATAAAAAGGCCCTTTTTAGATTTCCATGTTTTCTGTATATAATGGCTGCAGCATTTGTTGGTTAGTAATTGGTGCATTACAAAATATAAATGGATTGTGTTCGCTAGATTTGTCCAGGGTGCCATTGAAGGAGATTATAACAAGTGTCTTCAAGTAGGCATGCTAAAAGGAAAACAAAGACTGCCAAAAATCACATTTAAACAACCAGTATGGTCTCTCATGATGTTTCTTGTATCAGTTTATACTTGCCATCTGAGGTGTGTACCAACTTTTGCTTATTTAATGGTTCAGTCTTTCCCTCAGGCTGTCAACATGAACTCCGTACTAACATCAGTACGATCCCTCATGCACACGTTTGATGGCAAAGCAAAGGAATTCACAGATGAAATTGAAAATGTCCACATGGTCTGGCTCGAGGAGATCCAACAAGAAGCCAACCGCATGTTCTCAAGGTGAACTAAATATACATTTCCAGAACTTTATTCTTCCCTAGAATTGTCTTTTTAAGGGTTTAGTGAAACGATTTCTTTTCATTTCAGGGATTTTAATGCAGAACCAGAATTGATGCCAAAAACACCCTCACAGAAAAAGAGTCGCAGGAAGCGTCTATCTTCAGGGCATCAGGAAGAGAATCCAGCCAGGCGAAGGTTTGTTGCATTCAATACTGCCTGAGCAATGGGTACAAGTTTCACATTTTAAAGGTGCCCTAGTTTTTAAAAATTCACATCTAACTTTTCCTTTTCAGATTTTCAAAGGGAAAGCGCAGTAACCTTCGTGGCTCCATTGTCAAATCACTGAACTTGATTACTGAAGAAGAGATCATTCCCGAGGCTTCCACCTCTCAGACCAACACCACCTGGCAGCCTAAACGCACAACCCGCAAAAACAACAATAAACTACAAACACAGTCTGAGGTGGCAGAGGATGTGAGCTTAAAACCTGAGGAGGTTCAGAACAAGAAGCCAGAGCTGGTAGAGGTGGACAAGACGGATTACATATGTGGCGACGCCCAGTCCCCACCTGCAGTACCATCACCCGAGGTTGCTGTCAGCATCTCTGCCTCAGACCGATTGTCTGCAGAGAGTGTTAAAGATGTGCAGCTCTCTCCTGGTCGTTCAGCTGCCAAGATTGCAATAGCGGGCGCAGCTCGGAGCTCACGGCGGAGCTCTGTGCGCTGCTCCCTCAAAGTACGCCACTCTCTGGCCGGTCTGCGGCACAGTATGACCCAGGAGTCTGTTCGCCGCGCCTCGCGTCGCTCCATGCTGAAGAGGCAGGTGTCTCGTATGGGCAATTCCATATGTAGCAGCAACATTGATGGTGAGAAATGAGCTTCATTTGGTTTATAATTACATAAAACGCAACAAAAATAGAAACTCTGTGGACGGTGATTAATGTGTATATTATTGTTTGGTGATTTCAGAGCACTCTTCTGTGGACTCGTTAGAGGAAATGGAGGCGTGAGTAATGACTAACATTTTTTCTGAATGTATTGGCTTATTAATAAGAATCAGTTTCTGAGCCCTATGGTTGTATTCACTGCTATAGATTGCCAGAAGCTGTAAGTACAGACTCAGATGAAAATGCTGCTGCTGAAGAATGTATTGAAACTCTGGAGGTATGAATATGTACTTTTTTCTTTTAAAATGTCAAACTGAAAAGGACTTTGTTCTTTGGTTATTGATCAGCACATTTTTTTTGTCAAACAATTGTAGAGCCAGATCATCCAGATCCCACAACCGTCTTTCGGACGCATAACTCGATCAGTGGCCGCAAGCTCTGTGGTGGCAATATCACCGTTTACATCTGAGCTCTCAGTGTTCACTCCCAAAAAGAAAACAGGTATGAGAACTCCCCATTTTCCAATTGATCAGTTCTATTTTAGATCTGGTTGAACGTAAATCTATATTTGTATATTATAGTTTTCTAACTAAATGCAACTCGTACGTGTATGTATTTGTGTTTCAGCTGCAGAGAAACATCTGACGGCAGTTCGCATGTGAGTGTTGTGAGTGTGTGTGTGTGTGTGTGAGTGTGTGTGTGTAGCACAACATGACTGCACTGTTGGTTGATTAGAATAACATTAAAGATAATATCAACTTGTTGGGGCT